ACGGGGGACGGCGCCGGCCCCGGGTCAGGTGTGTCTGTGGATCCACCCGCGGGACGGGGGACAGCGCCGGGTCAGGTGGGGCTGGGAGTCCACCCGCGGGACGGGGGACAGCGCCGGGCCGGCCCCGGGTCAGGTGGGGCTGGGAGTCCACCCACGGGACGGGGGACAGCGCCGGCCCCGGGTCAGGTGGGGCTGTGGATCCACCCACGGGACGGGGGACAGCGCCGGCCCCGGGTCAGGTGGGGCTGGGAGTCCACCCGCGGGACGGGGGACAGCGCCGGGACAGCGCCGGGCCGGCCCCGGGTCAGGTGGGGCTGGGAGTCCACCCGCGGGACGGGGGACGGCGTCGGCCCCGGGTCAGGTGGGACTGTGGATCCACCCGCGGGACGGGGGACAGCGCCGGGCCGGCCCCGGGTCAGGTGGGGCTGGGAGTCCACCCGCGGGACGGGGCACAGCGCCGGGCCGGCCCCGGGTCAGGTGTGTCTGTGGATCCACCCGCGGGACGGGGGACGGCGCCGGGACCGGGTCAGGTGGGGCTGGGAGTCCACCCATGGGACGGGGGACAGCGCCGGGTCAGTGAGCGGGCCGGCCCCGGGTCAGGTGGGGCTGGGGGTCCACCCGCGGGACGGGGGACAGCGCCGGGTCAGGTGGGGCTGGGAGTCCACCCACGGGACGGGGACGGCGCCGGTGGACAACAACTGCCGCAACGGACACCGGTAAGCAGCTTACGTCGGCCGCCGCGCCGCGCCGGTGAAGGGGAGAGAACTGGTACATGGAGACGGAGCCAGTCGCGCGACACAGCACTGCACCGAGCAGCCGGATTCATTACTCATCAGCAAACCACACTGGATAAACGGCACTATATAACTACAGCCAACCTTGGACGAGTCTGGCTCAGAGGCTCAAATACAAACTGTATGGCCAGTAGCCTAACCGCTTTTTACGCAGTAATCAGCGCGGTAATGGCCCACTGGCCCTCAATTAACCTTTCCTCCTCGACCTGCCATTTCAGCCCCACGCAGAGGGGTCGCGTTGGGAGCCCAGCAGGCGCGGAGGACGGCAGCCGGCCCCTCCCCACACCCTGCCGCTCCTGCCCTTCATCCCGGCGGCAGCCGGGCCGGAAACGGCGCCCTCCTTCTGCCCTCTCCCTCACAGCGCCCACCGGCCAATCAATGGACAGCCGGAGAGGGAGAGGGAGAGGGACAGGGAGACGGGCGGCGGCGGGCCCGGCCGGCCGCTCCACCGCACCGCGCGCTGGACAGCTGAAATAATGGCCGTAATGCGCCGGTGACGAGACACCCCACCCACATCTAGCGGTGGGGCACCGTGTCGGCGGACAACATTGAACCTCTCACGGGTGCACAGTGTACTCAGTTGGCAAGGGTCGATGGATGACGATAACATTTTCACCAGCTGTTTCCGTTGCACAAAAAAGGCTGACAATGTATCGCAAGCTCCACCGTTAAGTTATTCATTGCAACGCAACTGTCCGGGCACAGAGAAATCTGTTCTGAAATATGGCACTACTGACTCTATTGTGCTGCTGAATTGTGTGCAGTAACAACGTGAAATCCAACTGATGCCAATTACCACACGAAGCTCTGTCTAAGGTTGATGCGGAACATGCTGAGTTTTTACCAATCACAAGCGCCAGGTGAGCGAGTCATCTCTTTCTTCCACGGCTGATAGGGGGTAGTCTGTTAGAGGGCAACTCAGCGCGTCGGATTACGACGACAACAGTACAGAATGACGTGAGCCGGCATCAGGCGGCTCAACTATCTTGATTGCCAAAAAACGTTGTCACAGTGGCGAGGAAAATAGAGCATCACAGCGGAGATGAGACCCACCGTCTGACCCCGCCCTCTATACCCGGCGCCAGGGTCTTACGAGCCGATCACGTGGTGTTCGAACAGAACCGTGTCGAAATCAGCGGCATTCGTCCATTAACCGAAAACTACTTTGGATAATGATTCAACGAGCGTCTTTGCAGAGAGCAGTGCTTCCATAGCTACGGCGTGACGAACAGAGCGACAGGCGATGACCGGTAGACGGGTTGCATATTTTGACCCAAGTTCTACAGCTTGGAATTGTGAAGTTGCTGTCTGAAACAGCTGCATTTGTCTGAACAGTCCAGCACTTGTTCAGCTTCAGCGTCCGCCTAAAAACGCGGAGCCGGCGTCCGCCTATAACCGTGTAGCCGGCGTCCGCCTATAACCGTGCAGCCGGCGTCCGCCTATAACCGTGTAGCCGGCGTCCGCCCACCGCCCCCGCTCCGAGGCCGCCGCGGCACGCGCCGGTCACAGTCAGCCGTCACGATCGGCTCACTTTCGCCGCGAGCTGCCGCGCCGCCTGGTCCGGTGCAGTTCACGGCTCTGAGGCGGCGCCGGGCCGCGGCCCAGCAGGGAGGGACGACGCAGGACCCGAGACCGGCCCGGCACGAACGCAGGCGACGCACCGCCGCGCGCTCACCACGCAATCTCGTGAAACGGCGAGAGTAGAAACCGGTGTCCGGCTGGCACCGGCGTCAGCCGCGGCCAGTGGCGGGGTCGGCACGGGGCGCGCGTCATCACCTCCTCTGGCAGTGTCAGCTGTCACTGACACCGTCAGCCGTACATCCCCTCGTGGCAGTGACTGCCCGAGGGTGTGCGCCGCTGTCATTGAGCACATGGCACCTGCTCCCAGACAGTCCGGGTCCTCCGGTCTGATGCGAGGTGCGGTCCCGGCACTGACGGCGCACTGACGTATATCAGTCAGCCATCAGCCCACTCCCTCCAGCGCACGGCCTCCGCCGATTAGTGCCGCCGGACGACCCATAATGCCCGGATGAATAAGGGCTGTCACATCCAGCCGGCCTCTCAGCTGCCCTCGCCAGCAGGCTGCACGGCCATTGCCCCTGCCACTCCTCCCTCCACAACCAACAATGAATGCTAATCATCAAGAGACAAGTGGTTCCTGCGGACCACGCTCCTTAGACCATGCTCTTACCGCTCATAACCTGTCTAAGACATCACTCAACCCATCTACGTTGGGCGCTACAAGGACAACGCTATGCATTAACTCAATCGTGAGGGCACTTTAATAAAATTTGCCTTCCCTTCAGAAGTTTCCAGCATAGAGCGCATAAAACGCACGTCTGCCCTATCGACTCAATCTGTATAAAAAGATGACGTTCAAAGGTGACAACTGAGTGTTAGTTCATAGATACGGATCACCTCCACAGACCTGGGGAGGCGGACGAACGAGACCACCCCCAGACGGTTTACCGGGGTGACTGCACCGTCCGACTACCCCCGGTCCCCGCCTCCGGCATCTCCCGCACAAACACCTCCCGACTCCCGCCGACTGAGTGTGAAGAGGAGTCGCGGCCGCCAGGCGCGTCTCGCACGGCCGTGATAATGGCCGCAGCTCCAGAGGCGGCAATCTGCGCTGGGCCGGCGGCGCCGCGTCCCATCTCGGGCCGCGTCCCGGCCGGTAAAACGGCTACCCGGAGCCGGGCCGGGCCAGCCGGGCCGGCCGGGCAGGCAGGCAGGTGGCGGCCGGCCGGCACCGGCAGGTGGTGAGCCCGCCCTGTTATCGGCACCCATCCCCCAGCGGTCGGCCGGCGCGACAGCCACCAGCCGCGGCACGCCACAGGCCACTGGAAGGGTTGGGAGCTTACAAAGGGAAGACGCCCCCGGGACGGCAGGTGGCCACAGCACGGTCGGAACGAGAGGTCAGAGGGCTCTAGGACGGCGGCTCGCTGTACAACTTCATCGAACATCACACATCCACTGACATGAGCAGATTCGAACGGCCGGTGCTGCTACCGATTGGCCTTGGACCGGCACCACATGCAGAGTGAAGAACAACACAGCTGCCGTCTCGCGGGTCACACAGAGCCGCCTGTGAACATCAGAGCACACATCGGCACATGTTGGCGTGACGCGGGCCCACACGGCGGGCCATCCGTCATCGCGCGTCACGACTCACGCAGGTCCGGCGTCACGCGGCGCATTCCTATCCTGTCGGCGGGCGCCTGTCCGCCGTCCGGGGAGGGGGGGGGGGGGTCAGCGCGGCGCTCCGGTGCATCTGAAACTGAGAACCGGGTCAGAGCGGCACGCCAATCTCGCGGGCGCGGCAGTGGAGTGCCTGTAGTAACGGCCGCAGAACAGGCGGAGGGTTACCGACAACCAGTCAGCGGCGGCGACCTCATGTCACAAGGCGCTAAACACAGGAAATAAGCAGACAAAACGACGTCGTCAAACGCCGCCGCGTCATCCAGCACGGCAGCAATCAACACAGGGCGGCGGCACGCAGTGGTATCATTCCCGGGCATCCTGCAGCACAATGTCAGCGCCTCGGCACCAGACAGTCACACACGCCATCAGCGCTCACGGAGCCGAGCCGTTCTGCAGTGAGTGGGTCAGTGGTGTTTGACCCCGCTCGGGACGGCCTTCTCACGAGGTGTACCGGCGGAGACGGCGGCGCGGTGGGCGGGCAGGCAGCCGCCGGTCACAGCAGGGAACAGCAGGCAACTACGTAACACAATGGGCGGCACGCGAGCGCCGCCCGAACGCGTCGGCTCTCAGGGACGGCTTTCACGTTTTTGAGGCTATTTCCGGCGGCCGTTGAAAGCCGGCGCACGACAAATGACGCGGGGGTGCAGAGTAATACAGCAGGTCACAGTCATTGCAACAAACGCTGCAGTTATTAATATCATTCAGCACGAATAACGAAGTGAGGCTTGACTGTTGACACATAACAATGCACTGACTAGTGCCCTGGCACCGACATCCGATTTAAGGCAACTTATTTACGTTAAACATTAAACTATCAATGAGGGAAATCAACAAAATAGGTAATTTGATAATTATTTAGAAGAATCCACTATAACTAATTCCATTGGCAAGAACCAGTTGAAATGCATCCATAACAGTCAAAACAGAGAATCTATCAGTATCTCAGCTACACCCCAGCGCGGCGGCGCCCAGCCCTGGGCCGGGAGCGGTGCCGGACAGTACCTGCTCGGACGTGCACGTCGCGAGACACCACCGAGCCCTCCGAGTTGTTGGCCAAACAGCGGTACACCTGGGCGTGAATCTCCTGGCGGTAGTCCTCGGCGCGGAACGCCAGGAACCGCAGCGTGCCGTTCGAGAACACCTGAGCGGCAGGTCGGGTATACGGTCAGTGCAGCTCAGCTGGACGGAACAGAACATCACGGGGTGATTTTGTACTTCTTTGTCGCTAAGCTCACGGTGTTTAGTAATGTGGGGATGGTTTGATCTTGCGTTAATTTTCATCATGTGGCTTATGACAGAATTCCGTTAATTACCTATCGCGACCGAATCTCATTCAGAGACGATATCCCAGGACATTCCCAAGGCGGAAACCTTGAATTGGCCCCGGCACCTCCATAAAGAACAGCTCCAGAGCCGGTGGCGTGGCTCGGCCCCCGCCCGGTGCGGCCATTGTCAGTCCCGACCACACAATGCTGTCTGACGCCGCTGGTATGTGGCCGGAGGAAATTATACGGCCGCGCGCCGTCCTATCATCAGGCTGCCACCTGTTCCGGGTCACTTCCGGTCCACCGCGGCCCCGCCTGGGCCCGGGGCCGCCGCGCGGGGGGATACCCAGACACAGTGACCCGCAGCCCGGGGCCGCCGCGCGGGGGGATACCCAGACACAGTGACCCGCAGCCCGGCACACACAGGAGAGGAACTGTCGGGCCCAACAGAGAGGAATGGTACGTAACGTACCACTGCCGGGCATAACAGAGGGGAACCGCACCACTGCACAGTGTTTTATCTCGGCCTCAGAAGCGGACATAATACGATATCTCAGCAAGTTTCCATCGGATCCTAATAATTTTGATGTCAAATGAAAGCGCAGGCACTGGCGGTCATGCTGACCGTCGCTGATGTCCAAATATAGCCGGAAAGATCGTATCATCTAGAAAAACCAAATTCGCTATTTTACGCAAACAAGGCTTTTCTACAATCGCCAATGAAAATCTTTATTTCGTGTTCGCAGAGTGTTCTGATTTCAGGCGGGAACATCCATTTTAAGATTGGAATGTGAAAACATGCTTTGCTTTATTGATACCTAAATGTTTTTATACATTTGAGAGACGTTGCATGATGCACAAAAGCGTCATACAGATCGGACACTCAAGGGAAGAACGGATGCTCTGATAAATGCAATGCTAAATGGAATATATCAATTTATTCCTTTCTTTAACGGGTTTCAGGTTATATTATCGTGCTCTCCACATGGCACAATTGCGCAACACGATCCTAAACCTTTAGGTTAAATCAATGAAATCTCCTCAGAAGCATTCGACAACTATCAGATACGCCAAACACATCAACTGCGTAGCAAACAATCTAGCAGATATCAATGACCGCGGCGCATTTCCAATTTTCTACACGACATTGGCAGCGCAGTAGTCAGGCAGTTGCACCTCTACATGTTCAGGTTCATCACGATCGTCATCGCTCGAGTCCTCATCGCTCGGCTGAGTGCACTCATCGAGTTCTTCATCACCTGACGTCTCCTCTCGCTCTCCCTCGTCGGGTAGCATGAGCAGGTGACTGATGTCAACCCTGTACACGCGAGCTGACTCTCTTCCGCAACGGCTCCAGCATCGCCTGACACTTCTTCGTTATGACGGGGTCACTGGTGATGAGGAGGTGATGATATTGGTCCGTCATTGTGTTCACCGAAGACGTCTTTCGCGCATGTTTCTGCAAATATTCCCGATAGTGCTTGTTTCGGCTTTCCTGATTCTCTTCCGAATACATACCAATGGGGAGCAGGAGATTTTCGATGACGGCAGCACCATGGAGAAGGAGCTTGTGGACGCTGAACGGCATATAAAACCATGGATAGAGCTGAACCACGATCTCAGCCGTCTTCATGGCGTACGCTGAATCGTTCAGCATCTATGCGTTCTAGCGACTGCATGGCGTTCAGGAGCACTGCAAGCCGCGTGATGATTGCTTCATCCACGCCGGTAATTTCACTGAACGTTTTGGGGCTGCACAGAATGCTCTCCTAGCCATATTTCCATCGTTCGAAGTTCCTGCTCCCCCGGCACGACCGCGCGGCCACACCGACGCCGCGCGGTGGAGGTCTCTTCAACACGACACTGCCGGCCGCTCGGCACCTCTCGGCAGCTGAAATTTTCATAACACGAAGAGAACATGACTAGAATTATCCTGACAAAGTCTTGAGACGTGCAACCAGGTGCGATTTTTTGTAGCTCTATTTGAACGTTGAAACCCTACAGTAAAAAAATAAATTTAAAATGGTCGACATCTTAAGCTTCTAAAATGTTTATTCTATCAGAAACGGGTAAATGAACAACATAGGCGTCTTGCCAACATTGCAAGCTTTCAAATGATGTATAATTTTTACCTTAAGTTGCGAAAAATGAGCTCCCCAGGTGATTTCGAATGTGAACCGTAAAACGACCCGGTATGCAAACCACGAGGATCACACCGCAACACTCGTGTTTGTGACACTACTGCACACAAATTATGGTAGCTAGATGTTCTTTTTTTGCTTTGTTAGGCCTGCTGGTCTATTTGGACGTGCTTGGTGATTAAAAAATCGAGATATAAAATAGTCAAAAATGCTAATTATGTCCGCTTTTGAGGCCGAGATAAAACACTGTGCACTGCCGGGCACATAGCGAGAGAAGGCGGTGTCCCTCACAATCCCCAGGCATATGTATGTGATGTATACCTGGAAATGCGCTGCGCAGCCCGCAACGGCTCCCATGACTAGCTCACTGACCCGACCATAACCATCGATTGCAGTTCTACAGGTTCACATGGTCCGAGTGTCTGCACCCGAGCGGCGTCTGATCCATCCGAGGACTCCTGTCGGTCCCCAGCCTGTGGCCTGCCCCATCTCGAACCCCCCCCCCTCGTCTACCATCCGTTCTCCACTCGCCGTCGTCAGCGCGTGACAACCAATCGATCACATACCAATCGAGCCCAGTGTCACAGAGCAGACCGCGGACTGGGAGTCCGTGTCACAGAGCAGACCGTGGACTGTGAGTCCCATGTCACAGAGAAGACCGTGGACTGGGGGCACAGTGTCACAGAGAACACAGAGGATTGGGAGCCGGCGTGTCACAGAGCAGACCGTGGACTGGGAGTCCAGTGTCACAGAGCGGACCGTGGACTGTGAGTCCCATGTCACAGAGAAGACCGTGGACTGGGAGTCCCGTGTCACAGAGTAGACCGTGGACTGGGAGTCCCGTGTCGCAGAGCAGACGTGGACTGGGAGTACCGTGTCACAGAGCAGACCGTGGACTGGGAGTCCCGTGTCACAGCAGACCGTGGACTGGGAGTCCGTGTCACAGAGCAGACCGTGGACTGTGAGTCCCATGTCACAGAGAAGACCGTGGGCTGGGAGTCCCGTGTCACAGAGCAGACCGTGGACAGGGAGTCCCGTGTCACAGAACAGACCGCGGACTGGGAGTCCATTGTCACAGAACAGACCGCGGATAGAGAGGCCAGAGCGGCCCTGCGGTTCACTGGGTCAGAACGCCCGGGGCGCCTATGACCTGCAGCTCGCACATACCGGGCCACATCCGAACACAGGAGTATACAGGAGGCATCGATCGCTGTTCAGCCGTGTTGCGGATTGATAAATCACCTTTGTACCGGACGTTAATAGTCATATATCATTATTCATCTCCATGTGATGTCGAGCAAATCCCCTCAGGATATGGCCAGACCTACTTGGCGTCTCACTGTGCGTGGCCGCGCCAACGCGGTCTATCTTGTCCCTGCTGGCCGGAGGCTATCTGGAGCGCCCCCCCCCCCCGAGCCGGGCTGCGCCGCCGCCCCCTCGGCCGGTCGATACGCAGCGGGCGGTCGGATTTCCGGGCGGGTCGGAGCGTGCCTCTGCTCCACGCACCGCGGCCGGCCGCTGACCGGCGGCACCGCCAGCCGGCCCACAGCTATCACTGCCGTCACCAGCCGTGCGGTGACGGTGACGTGCGGCCGTGACGGGTGATCCCAGACGGCTGTCACGCCGGCGTGACGCGGTGTCCGGGGTCGGCCGGGTCACAGTCACCGGTCACCGCGTCATCTCGGGGTCGGCCGGATCAGATCACCGGTCCCATACCGCGCGGATGGGCTCCCGAGACGTGTCCGAAAGTCTGAGACGATCCGTCGACTATCAAACGGGAAGGTTGGGCGTATCGCCACCCACTTGAGTCCTTCGGACCTCGAGTGGTGTCAAGTGTCGACAGATTACCACCTCAGTCCGCACATAACATTCGAGTGGGCAGTCACTATCCAGAAATACGAGTACATATATGGAGACGCATAATATAATATAACGCACACCATTCGTCTGATCATAATCTACCGTTAAGAGCGACAGTGTTGGGTTCGTTAGCCAGCGGTCCCTTTCACTGACAGCCGCTGCTGCAGACGGCAAGGCCGCGCGATGTTAGTGATGTGATACGCCACTGGCGAAACTGGCGGCGCAGTCATCACTGGCGGAACGGGCCGCTTAGCTGCCTGCAGCGGCACAGATGAACACACGATACGCAGCCAACAAAAGACCCAACACGCATACAGCGCGGGCCGAGCGCGCACCGCCCGGCAAAACACGACGCTTCCTGTCGGCGGCAGTAGCTGAACATAACCCGGCAGCACGCTGACTCCGCGACCGGCTGTGTATCGTGAGCTACCCTACACACGCCACCGAGCCGGCGGCACACCGGCTTCACAGCGCATAGGAGCGGAACTGCGAGCACGAGAGAGAAACTGCGTCCGGACGTGGCGCGCCGCCGCCCCGGCGACCGCAGCGACCCGGGAGCTGCTCTCCTGGCAGTGGCGACAGCGCTACCGGGCGGACTGAGACCTACCCGGCGACAGCGCTACCGGGCGGACTGAGACCTACCCGGCGACAGCGCTACCGGGCGGACTGAGACTTACACGGCGACAGCGCTACCAGCCGGACTGAGACGGCACTACCGGGCGGACTGAGACAGTGCTACCGGGCGGACTGAGACAGTGCTACCGGGCGGACTGAGACTTACCTACCCGGAGAGCGCTACCAGCCGGACTGAGACGGCACTACCGGGCGGACTGAGACGGCACTACCGGCCGGACTGAGACCAACCCGGCGACAGC